CGAATCAATCCTAACTGGGGAAAGAGAAGAAGAGAACACTAGGTTGGAGGTACGAGGAAGCAGTTAACACATGAGACAGAATTCAAGCTGAGACCTCAACCTAAAAGGAAGGGAAGTCATCTCCTGTAAGCCAACTCACATTTGGATCCCTATGTCTTCTCATTTCATATTAATCAAAGGAGTGTTCACAATAGAAGGTACTTATTTGTTTCTAACATTACAACAAAGAGAGTTAAGCCATGAAATCACTCTTCTTGTTGGCAGCACAAGAAGCAGGCTCCAACAAATGACTGACATCAGTATGATAAATACTGGCAAAGATAAAAGCCAAAATTTTGGATCCAGAGAAAATACTTACTATCTCTGAAATTCTATCTAGGGATATGTCATTTCTCTTACTAAATACATATGATTCAAAACTCACTTTTTGTCAAGTTGGTTCCGACTCATTGGGAACCTCCATTGGCTTCCCAAGGCGGGAAATTATAAAGCGAGAGCACTGCCCATCTTCCTCCCTCAGAGCCACTGGTGGATTCAAACCGATGGAGAGTGGCCTTATGTTTTTATTATAGCCATTGGAGACACTGGTTAGCCATGCAACTCACCACAGACTTTGTCATGAGAGCTCCCCTAAATATATATGAAGTACATACCAATTAAGACAAATTCAACTCATCACTCAAAAAGAGAGAATTCCAATGTGTTACTAAAGAAGTTTCGAAAGAAGGAGCTCTGGTGGCCTAGCGGCAAGAAGTTGCACTACAATCCTGAAGGTGTGTGGTTTGAATCCACCAGATGCTCCGCTGAAGTAGTTGCTGTTGTTGTTATGTGCCATCGAGTCGCTTGCGACTCATAGCGACCCTATATACAAGAGCTCTAAACGCTGTTCTATCCTGTGCCGACTTTGCCGTCTCAGACACACTCATTCCCACCACTCCACTCACAGAATCGATCCATCTCATCCAGGGTCTTCCTCTCCTCCACTCTCCCAAACATAATGTCTCTCTCCAAGGACCAGTCCCTCCTTGCAACATGCCCAAAGTACGTCAGACGAAGCTTCAGAATCCTTGACTCCAAGGAGTATTCTGGCTTCACCGTCTCCAGGACAAACCTGTTTGTTCTCCTAGCAGTCCAATGTATATTCAACACTCTTCTCCAGCACCACAGCTCAGAGGCATCAATTCTTTTTCTATCCTCCCTAGTCATTGTCCACCTCTCTGATGCATAACAAGTGATTGCAAAGACCACGGCCTGTATCAGACACACCTTAGTCTCCAGAAAGACACCATTGCTTAGGACTGAAAAATCAGGACCTCAGATCAAAAGAAGCTATTCGGCCCAGTGCACTGTCTCCAGCCTGCCTTATCATCCTCAAGATCCGATTTCAGGGCCATGCCCCTGGAGACTGATCTGGCAGATACCTTAGAAGACGTAGCCTCAAGTGACAAGTTCAGAAAATTAAGACACAGAGCAATTTACAGGTCAAAAGATTTTAATACAAATTCCTGGAATCAACCCAATAGACAACCCTGGATAAATAACAGTCATTCTCACTGATTCTTTTAAAGGGAGACAAACCATTAACTACTTCACAAGATTTTTGTGAGGATCAGAATTAAGGCAGAACACAGGATCTGACAATGAGTAAAAACTCAAGCAGCTGCTATTGTTAACACATTATAACCTCTCCTTATACTAATAAGATGCGAGTTCCACTGGCTTAGTGGTAAGGAGTTGCACTGCCAACTCAAAGGCAGGTAGTTCAAATACACTAGTTGCCCAGCTGCTCCTCAATAAATAGATATGTAGTTTTCTCCCATAAATACACTAGTTGCTCTGCAAGGAAAAAGATGGGCAATCTTCTCCCATGTGATTTACGGCCTCTGAAGCCACTGAAGGATCAGCTGTGAGTCAGTTCCAACTTAATGGCACCTAACGACAACACAGCAGATACAAAGCTATGTTTCTGGAAACAACTTGCCAATTACATAATTACTCCCAACTGGGAAGTTGTGGCAGCCTCTTTTGAGCCTGATTTAAATTAGATCATTAAAGACAGCTGTTCTGGTGGTGTAGCACGCAGCAAGTAGTGTTACCGAAGGTGCTGCACATCTCTAGTTCAGATCCACCAGAAGCTCTGCCAGACAAGGACAGGCAGGCAGTTTGTGTCACCACTTATAATTCTAGAAAACTGATGGGAATCACTATGAGTCAGAACCAATTTAATGTCAATGAGTTTGAGTTCGTCTTGTCCTAAGGTAGCCCAGCCCTGGTCGTGTAGTGGGTTATGTGTCGGGTTAAGCAAAACGTCAGTGGTCCAAAAGCCATGAGTTACAGATGAAGGAGGTAGTTTACAAAAAGATTTACAGCCTCAGAAACCTTGTAAGGCACTTTCTGTTCGGGAGGGTCAAGACAAGATAGAATGGATTCAATGCCTGTGGGTTGGGTTTGATTTGGGGGGCCTTGGCCTGACTTCTACCTTGTTCAGACCTTACTCAGGGTTCCAATCATGGGTTTCAGGTGAACCTCATCCTTACGTGTGTAAGTCGCTGCTTTTATAGAGGAGCCCTTCCTTCTTTGAGGTTCTCTACGGGATAATCTCTCCAAATGGATAGGCTGCACTATAAGAACTTTTATTCTAACGACAGTGTCCAAGAGAGTTCTTTTCCTTTCTTTCCCCCTGCTTTAGTTTTTCTTAAATATATGCCGAAAAAACCCAAAACTGTCACTGATCAATGTCTATTCAACAGGGTTGCAAGACCATAAATCTTTACTTGTCCCTCTTTCTTACGAGGAGGAGGATGCAGATGGATCGCCCACTTAACAACCAACATCCTAAACAGCATGCCTCTGAAAACTCTAGGAACTTTGACAAGTGTCCATAGTTGTAGAGGGGCTTCAGGTCTTTTGATCATAGGGTCTCTAGGAGTTGTGCGCGACTCGAAAGCAACCAACAACAACAGAGTTAGAAAGTTAAAACAGTCCAAACAATACACAGGGGAAAGTTACTATTCTTTACACCGTTGTCCTTAAGTCTCAGCCTCAATGGTAACAGCTTTTAATAGTCTGCTAAAGGTCAAGGTTGTTCAGTCTGACAGAAAGGTGTTTAGGGCTAGATAATTTTGCTAAGGGGCAGCCTCCCCCAGCCATTGCCACCTTCCCTAAGAGTAGTAACCAATAAAAGTGTCCAGGCACGGTCCATCTGGTGGATCGCCTCGCTCCCACTGACGACCATCGTTTCCAGGCTACCCCGCACCTGCACAAATGCATGCGTGAATTTCTAATGCTCATTGTGTCCCAAAACTGTCGACACACCGAGAGCGACTTTGCAACTCATCACGGGGTTTGTCTCGAGGACGTGGACCAGCCTCTGGGTCTCTGCAGGAGGCGACGGCCACTCACCAGGTCGCGGATGAGCTGGTCCACCAGCTGGTCCCCGCCCCCGGTGTCCTCGCGGGCCTGCGGGGAGCGGGAACGACTCGCCGCTTCCGGCCTCTCAGCCCGGGTGGTCCGCGGCGCCGGGGGTCGCCCCGCGCCTTCCAAAAGGCCCTGGGCCAGCGCCAGGTACCCCGAGGCCTGTTCGCCGCGCCCGGGGGCCAACTCAGGCCGCCGCGGCCTCCGCTCGGCAGCCTCGGGCCGCCGCCGCTTCCTCAGCGCCTGGGCCTGAGCCAGCTCCTCCTGCCAGCGCCGGCGGAACTCCTCCAGGCCGTGGTTATCCATTGCTTTCCGCCGCGTCCTCCCCGGCCAGCCCGGGGCCACGGGACAGTCCGTTCGCGGGAAGTGTCCGCCGCGGCCGGAAACCGCGGCGCTCGGGTTCCGGTGGGCGGCCCCGCCCCCGCCGCGCCCCCCGCGTGGGCCGAACCCACGTGACCGCGGGGCTCTGGGCGCCCGGCGTAGCTTCTTGTCTCTGCGTCTCGGTCTTCCAAGCTTTCCTGTCTCCTCGTTTACGAATGGAACATTATCAAGTGTGGACTTCGCCCCAAGCTCTCTTCACCATTCATGCTTTGTTATGTGCCATCAAGTCGAAACCAGTCATAGCTGATGCACCAGCAGGTTTTCAAAGGCAGTCAATCCCTTGAGAGCTGGTGGATTCTAAACGCAATTCGTGGCAGCGCAGCTCCTTCCCATTGGGCGATCAGAGCTCCCTATTTTATGCTTGTTTTGGGGTGCCCTTGAGTCCAGTGCGAACTATAACGAAACAGATATGAATGAACCCTGTATACAACGAGGCATTGGGAATTTAGCAAAATAGCCTTCTGCTGTAGGAGTTTTCGCATTCTAGTGCAGGAGAGACAGTAACCAAGTAAACAAATCAAAGTCAACGTTTAGGTCAGTCTTCAGTATTACAAGAAATTAAGACAAATAGATGTGTGCAGAACAGAACTTTGAATTCTCATCGATCCCAGACTTTCTGGAGCCATGGAAGCTAGATGAACCCCTAAAATTATTACCCTGAAATTATCTTGAAACATAAAACCAAAAATATCCTCTGAAGTCTTCTTAAAAGGAAACAATAGTTTAGACTAATTAGTAGAGAATGTCTGTCTTGAGCTATCTGTGTGGGATCAAGTTAACAACAGCAACTCAGAAAGATTAGATGGGAGCCTAAGGGGACAACTGTTTATGTTAATGGAGGAAGAACAACTCGACTGGAAGGATGTAATCAGTGCAATCACAGCACAGTCACTGAATTGTATATAGGTGTAGAAAGTGTTGCACTGGAGTATATTTTGCTAGGAATATTTTGAGCAGCTTTTTTTTTCCATTTAAAAGGTAATGAGGTAAAGAGGGGCGTGAATCTGAAAAAGGTGGTCATCTAAGTCCCCTTTCAGGAAATGACATTTGAGTTAAGAAAGAAATGAGGAGAAACGCCAGTCTTCGTATTATTAGGTGTCAGAAGAGAAAGCTCCAGAAGAAACTTCAAGGGCCACACTGTGAGGCTTTGAGGGAGAGTTGTACTTCATCATATTTCGTCTTCAGGCTGCTTTGTAGTGACTGCTCTCCCCACAGAATAGCTTTCTTGGAAAAAGACATCATATGCATCAGAGAGCTGGACAATAACTAGGGAGGACAGAAGGAGAATTGATGCCTTTGAGCTGTGGTGCTGGAGAAGAATATTAAACATATCATGGACTGCTAAGAAAACGAACAGGTTCATCCTGCAGAGGGTTAAACCAGGCTGCTTCTTGGAGGCAAGGATTCTGAAGCTTCATCTGACATACTTTGGACATATTGCAAGGAGGGACCAGTCCTTGGAGAAGGACGTCATGCTTGGGAGGGTGGAGGGACAGCACAGGAGAGGGAGACCCTCTATGAGGTAGATTAATTCAGTGACTGGAATAATGGAGGTAGATGTGTTGGAGACAGTGAGATCGGCACAGGACAGAGTGGGGTTTAGGGCTGTTGTACATAGGGTCATTATGAGTCACAGGCAAATCAACAGCACATAACAACAACAACTGGCAAGAATGGAGAGAATTAGAGAAAGAGAAGAAGCCCCTCAACAAGGTGCACTAACTCAAGCATATCTGAGATCTTAAGGATTCTGCAGGAGGGCAAGATTCAGATCTGTTGTTCATAGCTTTGCTATGAGCAATAGTCATCTCAATGGCAATTAACAACAACCACCCCTCCACGTCCTTCTTAGGTCTTTCTTATTTCAGCTCATGCCCCTCTTCATTGTTTTTGTTTTGTTGTTGTTAGGTCCCATCAAGTGGAGTACAACCCATAGCAACCCTATGAACAACAGATCTAAACCCAGTCCTATCCTGTGCCATCCTCACACCTGCTAACATACTAGAGTCCATTGCAGTAGTCACTGTGTCAGTCCACGTGGTTGAGGGTCTTCTTCTCCTTCACCGATTCTCCACCTTTGCGAGCTGGCATCATGTTCCTCTCCAAGGAATAGCCCCTCCTAGCAACTTGTCTGAAAAATATAAGGAAAGCCTCATCATCTTTACCTTCAAATTACCTCTTATTTACCTCCCCCAAACCCCCAAATCAGGGTCCATGTTACACATTTTCATAGCATTCTGTACTTCCCCAAATAATATATAACATAGTTAATAATTTTCTGATTTCTATGATTATTTATTAGTATCTCCCACAGATATGATTTAAAGTGCCCAATAGCTAAAAGAAAGATAAGTTCAAGTCCAGCCAGGGGTGCCTCTAAAGAAAGACCTCCTGTACCAATCAGATCCAAATTGACGTTACACACAAAAATAATAATAATAAAACAATTTTTTAAGTTAAAAAAAATAAAAAAGAAAGACCTGTCAATCTACTTCTAAAACCACAGCCATTGAATACCCTGTGGAGCACAGGCATTAAACGTGGGTTCAAGTAAGATAGAATCGCTAACAACTTCAGTCTTCTCTCCATTCATCATGATGTTTCCTGTTGGCTCAGTGGTGAGGGTTTTTGTTTTCTTTTTTTTATTTTTTTATTTTTGTGTGCGTGTACCGTCAAATCAGATCTGACTGTTACTGGAGGAGATTGCCCCTCCTTCCCCAGCAGAGCATCTGGTGGATTCGAACCGTGCACCTCTGGGATTGTAGTTGCAGTTCCTTGCCACTAGGCCACCAGAGCTCCCCGGTTTTTGTTTTCTTGATGCTGAGATGTAACTCATGAAGTTTGTAGACCTTTGTCTTCTGCAGCAAGCATATCAAGACCTCTCACTTTCAACAAGCAAGGTCATGTCATCTGCGTAATCCAGGTTGTTGGTGGATTTCCTCCAATCCTCATGTCATTTTCTTCTTCATAAAGTCCAGCCTCTCAAATGGTCTGCTCTGCATACAGAAAGCCAAGCCTGTCTGCTACTCCACCCCTCATGCCTGAACCCGAATGGAATCACATAGCCTACACCCCTACACATGAACTAGAAATTTCTTCCTCTGTTGTTATGTGCTGTCTGGTGGGAACCAACTCATAGCTGACCCTCAGAGTTTTAAGAGGCTGTAAACTGCATGAGAAGAGATTGCCCATTTTTCTGCCACAAAGCAGCTGGCATATTCACACCGCTTGCCTTTGAGTTGGTAATACAACTTGTCACTACTAGACCATTAGGGCTCCCTTCTCTTCCTCTAGTTACCATGATTTCTTCCATGTAGAGAGATTAACGGACTGGTTGTTAACAGCCTGAGCTTCCTCCAGAGCCAGGCAGACAGATCTGGGTTGAAATTCCAGCACCCTCCTTTACTTCCATCCCCATCTTCCGGCAATTCCACTTGAAAGAATTTATCTGAAGGAGGGAGAATTGTGCACAAGCTCCAAGACTAATTACAGGGATGGTGGCGGAAGCATTGTTCGTGGTGCTGAAAACTCAGAGGCATCTAACCAGCTGACAAAAAGGCGTTGGTTAAGTAAATGATGTCCCATTAGGATGTAAGTGAGATCCTAACTAGAATGTCAGGGACGTGGAAGCAGACGCTTCATTTATTTTACTTGCTGCAGTGCTGATTAGCTTCCTGTGGCTGCTACAAGAAATCCTCATAAACTGGGGAGCTTAAAAACAACAGTAATGTATTCGCTCGCCGCCTGAAAGGCTCACTTACTCATTGCTGTAAATTTCAATAGGAGAGACTGTCCATCGTTCTCTCTCAGATTGGCTGACAGATTCCAACACTCAGAGATGTGCACAGCCTTTTGATTTAATAATCAAAGCTTACTATGCAGTTCAGCTTACTATGACCTATGCCACAAGAGCTCCTAGATCCTGGAGGCTAGAAATGTGAAATCAGGATGGCAACAGGATAGGTTCCCTCTGGAGGCTCGAAGAAAGAATCTAGGCCCTGCCACTTCTATATTTCTGATGGTTATCCACAATCCTTGTCGTCTCTCCAATCTCTGCCTCCATCATCACCAACCATTGTCCCTTTGGGTTTCTCTGTGTCTCTATACATCCTCTCCTCTTTTTACAAGGACACTAGACATACTGGACTTAGAACCTACCAGTAAGGGAGTAAAGGAGCTCTGGTGGCATAGCTCATAGAGAGCTGAGTTGCTGACTCTACGATCACATCACTCTGGTGGTTCTAATCCACCAGCAGCTTGAAGGTAGAAGAATGAACAGTCTCCTCCTATGTGATGTACAGCCTCAGAAACCCAGCTCAGAAGGTCAGCTATAAGAGAGTTCTGTCTCGACTGCAATGAGAGAGAGAGGAGAGAGAGAGAGAGAGAGAGAGAG